GGGGGAGGGAGAGAGCGGCATGTGAGAGGTGTGAGAGGGCCGCCCTGCACGTGGAATGCTGCCGTTGGTGCAGGGGAGGATCGCCACTTACATTCCTTGGCTTCTCATCCTTGGCAGCAACCAGCCACCCACCCTATGCACGTCACACACACACACACACACACACGCGCGCGCGCGCTATCTGCGCACATCCGGGTGCTTGTATCAGGTCGTGGGTTTGTCAGGTCTGCATTTTAGAAGAACTTTGCGCCATCAGCAGCCTCAACCACAAGTACATTCTCTCGAAGTCACATTCGGTCCGCTCCACAGACACACCCATGGAGGCACTCGTATGCATGCAGGTCGTCTGTCAGCGAACAAGAAGTCACGTGTTTCTCTCTGTGTGTCTCACGTCAGCCAAGGAGAACAGCTACGAAGGCATCAACACCAGCCCCGCCGGCCGCAACAGGGAGACACAGTAAAAGGCATCCGTCTCTGTACAACCGCGTGTGTCTCCAGGCAATTGACAGAGCACGTGCACAAGCTGCAGCAGCGAGTCAGGAAAGCCAATATGGAAAAGACACGAGTGTATGTGTCTTGTTTGGGTGTGCTGTCGATCGACCAGCTGGTCAGATGATGATAAAGAGCCAGAGTGACTTGCTTGACATGATGGCAGCAAAGGACATCTGGCGGCTGGAATGGAAGAAGGCGGAACAAGAGGGTGACGTTTGCATCAAAGATGAAGAGATCTACGAACTGAGCAACAAGTTGACGGAAGCGGATATGGACGTTACGGCTTGAGCATCAACTGATCCATATCTTTGCTCTGTCAGCTGGCAGAGAGGGGGATGCGTTGAAGCGGGAGAAACGGGATCTTGAGGTGAGGACATCGCACACACAGAAACAGCAGCTCACACAGACTTGGGATGCAGGGCCGGCCGAATGTAAGATCGTTTGCATATGTAGTGGCGGAAAGACAGGCCAGCTGGCAGCTGGCAAATTGGCTTCATGTGTTTGTATCTTTCTTGTGAGGGGACCAGTGAGCTTTCGGACAAGCTCAACAACAAGGAGCGGGAATGAGGTGCAAAGCACACCCAGAGAGAGAGGCGCAGCCCAGAATGAGAATGTGTTGTCTGTCAGACTGACGCGTGAGCTTGCAGCCATGATGGCCATAAGAGATCTCAAGGACAGACTAGCTGTAAGTAATGTCCAGGCACATTGCATGAGACATGCACACAGCTACGTTTTGTTTTTGTCGCGGCCACCAATCCAATACTTCAGAGAATGGGTCGGATAACACGAAGAGGCCGCCATCCATCCATCCACACAGGAGGCGACATCCACTTCTCTCTGTGTGTTCGGGTGATCACACACACGGGCGGACAGGAGACAATACGGACATGAGAATGCGTGGACTGTATCGTGTTGCTATAGTACGAGCCAGCAGTGACCAGCAGGAGAAGGATGTCGGCGTAAGCTGCGCTCTCATCCATCCAGCCACCTTCATTCCATCCATCAATCCTGTGTCTGTCTGTCTGTCTCTCTGTCTATCTGTGTGTCCGCGTGTGTGTAGGCTGTGAACGAAGCGTCATAGGGTGCACACTGCTTGCGCTTGTAATGCTCATCATCATCTTCATCATCTTCTTCTTCGTTCTCAATGCTGAGGAGAGCGTCGCCGACCTGACAGAAGCTGAGAAGACTCGACATTATTGGATACTTGTCCTTCCCCCTTGGGATTGAATTCAGCAGCTGAGGTACCTAACATGGAAACACAACACACATACACACAGAGATACGCTCACAAAGACGAAAGACGAGCTGGCAATGAGAGCCAACGACACATACATGCATCAATCCGTGCGGGGTTGATTGGTGCGCACACAGGCACACGGAAGAGCGAGTCCTTCATGTGTCTTCAGAGAATCAAGCCAGAGTACCTACCATGAAGCCTCTGTTGAGGCATGGAACAGAGCTCCGAGGACACCTAAAGAAGGAATGGAATTGAGCGGAGCTCGTCAGGTGTGTGACACACCACAGCCATTGTTGTTGTTGCCACATGGCAGCAGAGGGAATCGCTGCCTACATTTTATATCTTGGTTCATTTCCCGAGCGATTGATGCGCTTCTCTGAAGACAAAGAAGAGCAACACGCGCACACCTAGCACACACACGCGCAGAGAGAGAGAGAGAGGAGGAGGCATGTGTCTCAGATGACAACAGAGTGATGAAAGACAAGATGAAGGTACTCATGTATCAACCATGTATTCAATCTCCATGTCGGCCTGTCTGTGTCGCCCGAACCACACACGTGTGGTTTGGGTATGGTGCCCCTGCGTTAGGCGAAGGGCATCACTCGTGGTGAGTTCATGGAGGAGATGCACGCTTACGAGGGGGGCGAGATGTGCGGCTGGAACGGCGAAGTGCGCGAGTAAGCGACGGACGTTTGTATGTGCGTATCTGTCTCGTGATGACACGCAGGTTCCTGGACACGGGCCATCGCGACTCGTGCGGCAGATACAGACTCCGCTACAGCCGCTGACCACTCAAGAGGCCAGCAGTAGCTGGTGTGTGTACAGGCAAAGACCAGGCTACACAGATCAATACAAGGCCACCGTCGCTAGCGCAGCAGAATCGCTTTTGGTTTGTTGAATTCGTTCATTTCATGCACGTCTGCGCAGATGTGTGTCTGTGTCTGCTTGCATTGTGCGATGCTGCTTAGGAATGCCTGACTAGCCGTGCGTGCGTTCGCGAGTGAAAGAATGGATTGAATCGATCTCGCACAATGGCAACGGGAGGCTTCAACAATGCATTCAATCTTCATGTCGGCCTGTCTGTGTGCGCGTGTGTGTGTCCAGTCGGCTCATGAGAAGTTGAGGGAGGTCAAGATGAATGCGAGCACACACCCACAGAGTATGTCGATCCATGCATCCATCCATCCATCCATGCGTGTCTCTAATCCGTGTGCAGGCTCAGCAGAAGGAGATGTAGAGCTTATCATGGCGTGTTCGAGCAAGCGTGACGTGATTGGCGATGAGAGGCGACATGAGCCAGAGACAGGGCGGAAAAGATCGAGAGGGCTTTTTCTCAGGACGAGCAGGCCAACAACGACTTCCCCAAGTGAGTAATCCCGCGCCTCCTTCCCTGACGAACAGCCACTCGTCCCGGAACGTGGGCAGCAGCACGGCACCGGCCAACAACAGCAACACCGACCGGGTACGTATTCGCCATCAGCAAACTCAACCAGAAGTACATCTCCCAGGGCAAGATCAACCTCTCGAAGTCACATTCGGTCCGTTTCACAAACACACCCATGAAGGCACTCGTATGCATGCAGGTCGCTTGCCAGCCAACAAGAAGTTACGTGTCTGTCTCTGTGTGTCTCACGTCAGCCAAGGAGAATAGCGACGAAAGCACCAACACCAGCCCAGCCGGCAGCAACCTCAACTACAAGTACATTCTGACCGGCTATAGAAATGACCGGCTATAGAAAAATTTAGGGTTTAGGCCTAAGCCCTAAACCCTATAGAAAAATTGAGTTCACCCTTTCTCTCTTGACTACTGTCTCCCTCGTATTGGTGTCGATCTGTATCTGGCTGGGCCTATCACGTGTTGTTTCAGCACACGCCAGATACGGATCGACACCAACCAGTGCAATGCCATCTGTATATGGTTGGCACAGTAGAATGCCCCCCATGCATTGCACCACTGTTGTCTCAGTCGCGCATACGTGCAAGGCACAGCAGGTCGCCGTGTTTTTCCGACCACACGTATCCTTCGTAGCTATATCGATCGCTGCGTACATTTTGTATTCTGATGCGTTGGGACCAACTATATCATCAATTGTGCTTGCTGTGAATCGTTCCCCCGCAGATTCCATGTGACAGCCACCCTCGATACAGCCGCATACAAAAAACGAATACACAGAATACACCAGGAGCGAAGACATAAAGCCCAGATGGGGGGCCGATACATAAGCTGCCTGCCTCATACACGCGTGACAACTAAGCTGTCCCTCTCCTCAGCATTCCCCTTGTTGAAGTAGCTCCCGTACGCTCCTGGCCGCAGATGTTCGACGAACAGAAAATGGACCCTGCACCGAGGCAAGAAAGTCACGGAAACAGTGCATTAATGCACAATGAATGCAATTGAATTTGGTTGGAGACTCACTTACTCACCTGTCGATAACACAGAGCCTGAGAATGATCCAACACGTGATCCAACTCGAGAGACTGACAAAGAAAGACACCACGTTCGTCAAAACCTCGTTCTTCCCCATTGGCTCCCATAACCCCATCATCGATAGGGCTAACGACACGGCAGCCGACTGCACAGCATTACAGACCAGAAAAGTAATGAAATAAGAGGGCACCGGCAGGCCGGTCTGTATACATGCCATTCCTCTCCATCAGGTGATCAATCTCACGCCGTTTCCACGCACACACGGCCACAGCAGCGCGATTGCGATGGGCGACGGAATAAGTGACGTACCAAATCGGACCCACAGCACACCATAGAACAGCAGATGTGCCAGCGACCACATGGAGATCAGCACATAGTAAGCCCCCTCGCGTACATAGAACAACGATCCAGCAGCAGCAGCAGCAGAAGCGCGTCGGTGCCGCAACCGCAATAGCACCTCTCGTGTGGCCTGGTGCACCTTCTCACCCTTGATCAGGCAGTAAGGCAGGAAGACCAAAGACATCAAGATCAACGACAGCAAGAAGGACACCCACTTGACGCCGCACGCTGCCACATTAGCATCCCATATGCCGCGAAGTCCGCCAGCTGTCGTCCAAAGGTCACGGCCGAGCACTCGAAGCATGGCGGCAAGCGTAATGATAAGCGCAACAGCCATCCGCAGACCACACCGAAGCGAAGAGCTGCCCCCATGCCGTCGCCCCGCCACCCAGTCGAAGGCGGCGAGAATGAGGCCGACCATGATGGCCGTCGGGATCACGAAATGGAGAGGGAGAGCTCTGGCGAGTATGTTGCTTCTGTCGCAGCTACAGATGGTTCCCAGCAGCAGCAACACACAGGCCATCAGGCTGTAGGCGAGAGCGAAGAGGGCGTCAGGGATGAGGCCGACCGGCAGACAGAACGGACCACGCGGCCCGACGTCATAAAACCTGAACAACCAGACATAAGGCCCAATGCAAATCACAGCAGATCCTGTAGCGTACCGCAGACAGACGTCGCACGTCGACTTCCTGTTCCCCGGAGCGCACACCCATCCCCCCAGACACGCCTTGTGCACCCATCTGAGAGTGCCCTTGCAGCCACAAGGCGCCATGAGTATGCCGGTCTCAGGAGTCTCGACAGAAGCATCATGGCAGAAGCGGCACACAGCAGCCGGCTCAGGCTGGGCCAGCCAGGACAGCATCGCCCTTCTCACCTGGCTGCCGTGAGTGAAGGGACGATCAGATCTGACAGACCGACAAGCTCATGCATTGTCGTGTGATTGCCTCATGCGATGTGACTAACTCACCGGGAACCGATACCGAAGCAGAATTTGTACACACACTGTTGGTGGGTGCCTGTGAGCAGCCCGAATGCAGCCGCAATCGAGGAACGGGCGGCGGGATGGACCACTCGTGCAAGCTTGAAGCAGATCTCCCCGCGCAACGGGAGGCTTCAACAATGCATTCAATCTTCATGTCGGCCTGTCTGTGTGCGTGTGTGTGTCCAGTCGGCTCACGGAAAGTCGAGGGAGGTGAAGATGAATGCGATCAACCACCCAGCCTCTCTGCGAGGAGTGTGCCTGACATGCACGGTGTGTGTACGGTGCAATGCCCCCCACACATTGCACCACTGTTGTCTCTGAAGAAGTCGCGCATAGTGTTTTTCCGACCACATGTATCCTTCGTAGCTATATCGATCGCTGTGTACTTTTTAAATTCTGATGCGTTGGGACCAACTATATCATCAATTGCGCTTGCTGTGAATCGTTCCCCCGCACATGCCATGTGACAGCCACCCTCGATACAGCCGCTACAAATAAGGAATACACAGAATACAATGGGAAGCGAAGACATAAAGCCCAGATGGCGGGCCGACAAATAAGCTGTCTGCCTCATACAGGCACGACAGCTAAAGGTCCTTCTTCTCAGTATCCCCCTTGTTGAAGTAGCTCCCGTACGCTCCCGGCTGCAGGTGCTCCAACAGCCTCTCAAGCCTACATCGAGGCCAGAAAGTCGCGCAAACAAATTGAATGAGTGCAACTCAATCGCTTACCCGTGCATAGCACAAATCGCAATCGCCCAACTCAAGAGGGCGAGAAAAAAATTGATCACTCTCCTCAGAATCTCGCTCTTCTCCACTGATTCCAATGTCCCCATCATCGATAAGATCAACGACACGGCTTCCAACTCCATAGAATAAGAGACACCAAGAGTGATGAGAAAAAGGGAAACGACAGGCTGAACGATATACATCCAATTCCTCTCCACAAGCTGGTCCATCCCACGCCGCTTCCACGCACACACGGCCACCAGCAGCGCGATTGCGATGGGCGGCGGAATAAGTGACGGACCAAATCGGACCCACAGCACACCATAGAACAGCAGATGTGCCAGCGACCACATGGAGATCAGCACATAGTAAGCCCCCTCCCGCACATACAGCGACACCACGCCCACAATCGCTCCACCCGCAGCAGCAGCACCACCAGCATCAGAACCGCGTCGGTGCCGCCACCGCAATAGCACCTCTCGTGTGGCCTGGTGCACCTTCTCACCCTTGATCAGGCAGTAAGGCAGGAAGACCAAAGACATCAGGAGCAGCGAGAAATAATACATCGCCGCGCTGAAGGAGGACCCCCACTCGGGAACGCCGCACGCTGCCACATTCGCATCCCATATGCCGCGAAGCCCACCCGATGTCGTCCCAAGGTCACGGCCGAGCACTCAAGGCATGGCGGCAAGCGTAATGATAAGCGCGATAGCCATCCGCAGACCACACCGAAGCGACGAGGTGCCACCATGCCGTCGTCCCGCCAGCCAATCAAAGGCGGCGAGAATAAGGCCGATCACGATGGCCGTCGGGATCACGAAATGGAGAGGGAGAGCTCGGGCGAGTGTGTTGCTCCCGTCGCAGCCGATGTCGAATGTGATCAGCAGCGGCAGACAGGCCAGCAGACTGTAGGCGAGAGCGAAGAGGGTGTCTGGGATGAGGCCGACCGGCAGACAGAACGGGCCACGCGGCCCAACGTCATAATCCCTGAAGCAACAGACACAAAGCAATACAGATATGCAGCCCTTTCTCCTTCTGTAGCTTAGTACTTCAGACAGGCGCCACACGTCGACTTCCTGTTCCCCGGAGCGCACACCCATCCCCCCAGACACGCCTTGTGCACCCATCTGAGAGTGCCCTTGCAGCCACAAGGCGCCATGAGTATGCCGGTCTCAGGAGTCTCGTCACTCGCACCATGGCAGAAGCGGCACACAGCAGCCGGCTCAGGCTGGGCCAGCCAGGACAGCATCGCCCTTCTCGCCTGGCTGCCGTGAGTGAAGGGACGATCAGATCTGACAGACCGACAAGCTCATCCATTGTCATGTGATTGCCTCATGTGATGTGACTAACTCACCGGGAACCGATACCGAAGCAGAATTTGTACACACAGTGTTGGTGGGTGCCTGTGAGCAGCCAGAATGCAGCCGCAATCGAGGAACGGGCGGCGGGATCGACCAATCGTGCAAGCTTGAAGCAGCAGATCTCTCCCCCGTCTGACGTGCTGTTGTGCTGCTGCTGGTGCTGCTGGTGAAGGATGGCGCTTGGTCCACGTGCATGAGGGCGGTGTCCCCCCTGCCGCTGCTGTCCTTCACTTCCCTGCTGCAAAACCACCGCTCATCGTCGCCATTCATAGCGGCGCCCGAGAGGGCCCTGCGCTGCCTGTCCGGACAACGCACGCGGCAGAAATCACTCGCCGCGATGAATGGACACACCTGGAGGGACTCCTTGGACAAGGTAGGTATAGATCTGATCTCACAGCGTCACCCAGCACTGCCGTTTTGCTGTCGTGCATTTGCAGCTGGTGTCCATTCCGCAAGCCGAGGCGCCACAAGCAGGCAGGCCACTTCGCCACCGAGTCACCAACCGCAAGGAAATGAATCTCACACCCGCCTGTGTGTGTGGATGTGTGTGCAGTGGTGTACAGTGCAGGAGGGGGTGGGCACTTCTTCAAGTGGCTGTTCTCCACCCCCGGGGCGTCGGCAGTCTTCCTCGAGGGGGCCATGCCTTACGCGCGACACAGCACTGAGAGGCTCCTGCAACGGGGGCGGCAGACGGTATTGCCGAATCCCACCAGATCACCTGTGGTCAGGATAGTTGGTCTCTCCGCTCAGGTGCCGTCGAATTTTGTGGATGCTGAGATGGCGCGAGCATTGTCGAGGAGGTAGGGGCCCTGCCCTGCGCTCCCCCGACTCTCTCTCTGTGTGTGTGTATGTGTGTGTGTATGTGTGTGTGTGTGTTTGGTCCGGCAGTGCTCTTCAGTGTGCGATGGAGATCAAGATCCGGGAAAGCGGCATACAGGCGGTAGGTCTGTGTCTGTGCGCGACACACACGAAATACATCACGCATAAAGTGTGAACGTGACGTCGTCGTCGTGTCGGCAGCTGAGCGACCGACTCGTGGGCATCGGCTCCACATGTGCCCTCGCATCCACACAGCCCAAGAGGTGAGGTGCGCAACCATGTGGCTCTCTCAACCGTGTGTGTGACTTCCCTCGTGTGTTTGTCCATCATCCATTCATTCAGGGGCGAGCATCGCGTGTATGTGTGTGCGACGTCGCTGCGGGGAGGCCGGCACAGCACGAGGGAATACGCCGCAATCCTGGAGAAGGTGCGATCCCTGGCACACACAACACACACACATGCACACACGTGTGTGTGTACACTTCTGCAGGGCCGTCGCAGCCGTGAGGAGGAAGATGAGCTGGTGGGTGTGTGTGGGGCGAGGGGTCAGTCAGGGATCTGATGTGCTCGCGCGGTGCATGGTTGTGTGCAGGTCAGCCGTGTGCTCCTCAACGCCCTCCTTGATCAGGCCGACGTACGTGAGCAGCCCCCCCACTCACCCGCCCATCAACCGGTGGTGCGTCACTCTTCAGGTGGACCGCGTTCCGACAGGGCTCGATGCCACTGGTGCGTCCCCTGGCAACGAGGAGCTCAGCGAGAGCAGCGACGAGGCACAGGACCCAATCCAAGACCTACTCGACGGCAAAGTCACACACGTATGTGCGATGGCTTCAGGCGTGTGTGTGTCATAGCGGCTGTGTTGATGTCTCTGTGCCGGTTTGTTTGTTGGTTCCTTTGCTCGTCAGGTGGTCCTGTGTGGCGGGAGTGGTTTGGTGGTGCCCTCTCCCCCTCTGAGCGACTGTGACATTCTGATGCTGCCCGGATCGTTCAACCCACTACACGAGGCGCGCACGCACACGCCCAGAGAGAGGGTCTAAGGCCGTGGTGGAGTCGTGTGTGTCCATGCGACGCATTTGCAGGGCCACATCGGTATGGCCGAGGCGGCCGCCAATCTCCGAGGCACATCGATGTCAAGAGGTGGGTAGACCACCGACACACACGGGGATACACTGGTGCATCATTTTGTGTGTATGCAGTGGTGTTTGAGCTGTCGTGTGTGAACGCCGACAAGCCCACCATCTCACTCGACGAGATACACAGAAGGGCAGCACAGTTCAGAGGTCACACATCACATAATACACACACCATATTGAGCACCACGCCGCTCTATCCATGTCAGTCACATCTGTCTGTCTGTGGCGTCTCTCTCTCTCTCTGCAGAGAGGGGGCTGCATCTGCTGCTGTCGAGCGCCCCCCTGTTCACGCAGAAGGCCGCTTTGGTGCGGGGGGTTACGTTCATCGTCGGCATGGACACGTTCGTCCGAATCATCAGTCAGCACAGCACTGTGACCCACCTCTCTCCACACACACACACCACGCAACTCGATATGTGTGTGTGCAGATCCCAAGTACTATGGCGGCACGGACGCTGGCGTGGCCAAGGTGAGAGGAGAGCACTCCAAATGCCCACAACACACGCAAGTCTCTGCTGTCATTCTCTCTCTCTCTGTCTCTGTGCAGGCGCTGACCGAGATGCGGTCACACCGGGCGCACTTCCTAGTGGCTGGACGCACCGAAGGAGGGGTATCACACACACACACGCCCCACAGCACGGTCCTGCACCTATTCATGTGTGTGGGCGTTGGTGTGTGCAGGCCTTCTTGCGCCTGGGTGACGTCACGCACGACGAGGGAAAGTTCGACGGCGTCAAGGGCATGTCAGATGACGAGCTCAGCGACCTTTTTCAGGTACACACAGACAGACAGACAGACACATCGACTGTGCGGGGACCCATAATACGGTTTGGTGTGCGTGCGTGTGCAGGAGCTGCCCGACTTCCGTGTCGACATATCGTCCACCGAGCTGCGGGCCCGCATCAAGGACCAAAAAAGAAGAGGGTTGACTACAGATTGACCGACTGAGTGAGTGAGTGATCCATGTGTCTTGGATGGAGAAGCCAGAGGCTCTGACGCTGGTTGCGGTGGGCCATGTGAGCACAGGTCTCCCGCCACAGAGGCGCGGCAGATCTGTATCACTCTTGTGCCCGTGACCTCCGTCTCAGCCTCTTGCCGGGGGGAATGCATGGCCATCTTAAACGTCTCAAAACATGCTTGCAATCCCCTCAATGTGCAATCAGTTGCGAGCTCGACGCCAGTTGGAGATCTCGCAGATCTGAGCATGTTCGCCTTTGGCTTAGTGTGGTTGCTCCTCGCCATTTGTTTGGTGACGGTGGCTGACGCCGACAGGCGGTGGACAGGCAAGACCGCACGGCGAGCGGCGTTTGCCAAAGGCTTCCTGGACGTGCCAATCAAGCAGCCACAGAGAGAAGGTCAGGCCAACCGACCACTGGCAGTGTCACACACACATACACACAGATGGATGGATGGATTGATGGGCGAATGCATTCACACCTGTCTGTCACACTACTGTGTGGCTGTGTGTGTCAGGTGTGATGCCGTCAAAGCAGAGGCAGCAGCTGCCACCGAGGCGCAGGCCGTCAACCACCACCCCCACTCCCACTCACCGCAAGCCACGACAACAACCAAGACAGACACACCAAGAACGACTCATGGTACACACACACACACACACACTCCAGAACAGACAGACAGACACACACTTCAGACAGACATTCATCTCATCTGTTGGTTCCCTCCCTCATCCTGCCTGGCCTGCAGAGGACATTTTCCCCGTCTGGCCATCTGGAGGCGTTTGCCGCTGCCCCTCCAGGGCTGGAGGAGCTGGCGCGGCGAGAGATCAGCGGCATTGTTGCCGAGGAAGGGGCTGTGGGTGGGGTGGAGGCGTTGGCTGGAGGCGTGGCCTTCAACACTGACCTGCAGGGGTGAGGGAGGGAGGGAGGGAGGGAGGGAGGATACACAGGGTGTGGTGTGTTGGATGCACACGACTGTGTGCGTGTGGGTAGGTTGCTTCGCTGCAATCTGTGGAGCAGGATTGCCACCAGGTGGGAAATGGGAAATGGGAAATGATACCACGATAGGATAGGAGGCTGGGCTGACTGCCTGGGCTGACTAACACCGGTGTGTGCCCCTCTCCCAGGCTATTGGTGCGGGTGGGATCCTTTCGCTGCAATGGCTTCCGCGACCTAGTCGAGGCTGTCGATGCGGTCGACTGGGCGCCCTTCGTCCCTGTGGGAGCCCGAGTGCGTGTGCGGGCTACGCTGTCCGGTTCGGCGCTGTACCACCAGAGGGCGGCCGAGCAGAGAGTCGGGCAGCGTGTGGCGGAGAAGACTGGTCGGTGTGTGCGTGTCCGTGTCCACTGGTGTGTGTGTTGAAACACACGGGGTGTGTTGTGTTGTGCTGTGCTGTGCTGTGCTGTGGGTGCAGGGGCGGTGTTTGTGGAGGGTGCGAGTGAAGATGTGGAGGGAGAAGAGAGAGAGGAGCAGCACATTCTGCTTAGAGGCAGGGTTTCACGCTGAAACCGGAAGGGACTGTGACCTTCTTGTGTGTGTGTGTGTGTTCGTGTTCGTGTTCGTGTGTGCAGTTGAGAACAACTGGGCCACGCTGAGCATCGACTCATCGGGACCCTCTCTGTCCAAACGGGGATACCGGTGCGCGAGTGGACACCTGACAGCACAGCACCACACATACACGCTCTCCCCCTCTCTGTCTCTCTCTCTCTCCCCAGCCTCTACAGCGGCAAGGCGCCCATCCGCGAGAACCTCGCGGCGGCATTCCTGACCCTCTCTGGCTGGACATACGAGTGGGACGGGGAGGGTAGTGAAGCTTCGTCAACGAGTGGCCAGTGCGAGAGGGTGCTGTACGACCCAATGATGGGGTCGGGGACCATCCCTATCGAGGCGGCCATGATTGCCATCAACAAAGCTCCCGGTGGGTGGGCCACGCACCAGGAGAGCCGTCATATCTGCCCCTGTTATCTCTCTCCCTCTTTCTCTCTCTCTCCCTCTGTGTGTGTGTGTATAGGTCTGGATCGTTCCTTTGCGATGGATCGGTGGCCGTGTGTTGAGCCCACCGGGCTGCCAGCATCCCAGCGCGACGAGGCGATGGGCCGTATGCGGCCTGTGGATGACATCCCGCCCATCTTCGGGTTCGACCGCGATATGGGCGCTGTCGATAACGCTCAGGTGGGCCCTCCTGCACTTCTTGCACTGACGGATGGAGGCGTATCCACGTGTGTCCGTGTGTGTGTCGGGATGGGTGTCAGGCCAACGCTCGTCGCGCAGGTGTCTACGGGGATGGCGGCAGCATGTGTCTGGAGCACGCCGCCCTCAAAACAAGTGCCTATCGGATGGCGGCCGACGAGAGGGTCATGGCGGCGGCAGGGGACCGGCTGATGGTGTGCAATCCTCCCTACGGCACACGATTCGGTGTGTGAGCGCTTGTGTGTGGTGTGAACAGACAGACACACTGATGGATGGATGTGTGTGTGTGTGTGTGTGTGAAGGTGCGGCTGACGAGCGCAAGGCCGAGCTTCAGTTCCGCGACCTCTACGATTCCATCGGCAACCTGCTGCAGCCAAACAAACCGCTGCACAGGTGGTCAGTGGGCCTCGTCTGCAACAGCAATCGGCTGGCGAACCGGCTCCGTGTGCCGCTGCGGACGGCCACGCCGCCCGTCGACTCGGGCGGGGCCAAGGTGCAGCTCTTTGTGAGCGATAAGACTGCATCTGCAAAGGCAGCAGCAGCAGCTGGAAGGAAGCCGCGAAGACGGCGGCTGACGGTCAAGAGGGAAGGGGCAACAGAGGGAGGGAGGGAGGGTAGCAGCAGCGGTTGACTGATCTGATTTGTCACTCACACGAACATGCAGGCAGACAGACAGGCAAGCGCGTCTGCTCGTCAATCCACGGACGGCTGAGATGGCATGAGTGTGTGTATGTATATACGCACACACACGAGTCGAAGGGACGACATGCAACGCAGAAGCGAAGCGGACAGGCAGCGCGAGCACATGCAGAAGGACTAGGCAGGGAGGGAGGCAGGGAGGTACCCAGTTAGGCGTGTACCTAATTCACGATATCATAGCCACATCGGTGCGTGTGTACGCGACACTACGTACGAAGGAAATCAACGCATCGCATCGCATCGCATGAAACAAGGCGGATGAAGTCAGTCAACGCGCAGCGAATGAATGCGATCATGGATCCCCTCCCACACACCACACCGCCCCGCCTCATATGCACACACACGCACTTCCACATGGACAGGCAGACAGGTGTGGACAGACAGACAGGCTGTGTGTGAATTAGCGCTGTACACCCAAACCTACACCGATATATGGGCGTGTGAGTGACTAAACTACCGGCGGCGGAAAAACCCCAGTAAGTACACACACGCATACACACAGACATGCTCACATCGTAGTGATACCACACCACACGCCTCACACCACAGACGGCTGGCTGGCTGGCTGGCTGGCTGGCTGCACATCTCTCTCTCCACGCCTGAGCTCATGTGTGTGTGAGGATCGATCACGGCATCTTCGTCTTCAGGGCCTCAACAACCGCGGCGTACATGTCGGTCTTCTCCCCGTTGTCGTCATACAGCAACGGCCTCTCGACGTCCCCACCCAACTTGTCGTCACGCAGCCACGAGTCTGAGTTCCGCACACCCCACACACCTATCGCTGCACACACACACACACACACACAGAGAGAGAGAGAGAGAGAGACATCATGTGTGTGTGTGTGCTGGGGGCAGAGGGGGGGG